TTCCACTCGCCCCCACCCAATTTTCACTCGCCAATTGCGAGGGGGCGAGTGGAAATTTTGAGCCCTGATATATATTATTATAATAATAACAATATATTTTCTTTTTTTATAAATCTGTCTTTTATTGCTGTGTCTGTCTGTCTCTGTCTGTCTGTCTATCTATCTACATATATATATACAGTGTATATAAAAAAAAGTAAGTTTTTTTTTAAAATGTAAAACAGATTTTTGAAATACAAACAACACACCTATAAAGTGAAGCTCATCCATTCCTCCACACCAAGTCAATTATCCTCCACTGAAAGCAAACATCACAAAGTCAATATAAAGGATTGACTCACGGCCAGTTGATTAAGTGCCTGGATCACCGCGCACAAATATACTGAGCTAGTCGCGTCATCCAAACATAATAGGACACTTCATTATTCATATCCTGAACGCGGTCCTTGAACCACTGAGACCGAAGTGGCACAATGCAACAATAAAAACGATCTTCCAGCCAAAAACAACCATCTGAGAACTCTCCAGTCCTCCCCAGGCCTCGGTGTAGAGCTAGAAAAATGCCCTAATTGACTTATTTTTCCTCTCTGTATTAATGTGTTACAAATTGCTTTTCCTACACGAGGAACAGGTCAATGGTGTGAACACCGGCTCCTTCTTCCTTCAACTTCTCAAGCTGTGATTATGATGGATCCATGCATCAGTGGGAACGGGAGGCAGAGGAGTCACCGTGCCAAGTCTGTCTTAACTTGTGCAATAAGAGATCCGGTATTAAAGAAAACCGGCCTTTAGGTGGGGGCTTCCATGGCTGACTTCTGTACTTGAAAATGCTAGGTGCTTGGCTGTCCTACTGACTTTCTGGTGCAATACTTTGCTTTACAGAACTGGGGCGCTGATGACCTTTCGCTGACTTTTGTGCCCTCCTGATTACGTCATCACTGTGCAATCAATCACATTGAACAAATGAGTGGGAGCGCCTCCTATTGGCCTCCAGCATCATGGCCTATTTAAAGGGCCGGCTAGGGGTCAACTTGACCATAACTCTATGACTTTTTTTTCTTAGGAAGGGCGGGTCTTGGAACTAGAAACACACAAGCGTGCACACTACTAGTTCTCTGCTGCAAGGTTAATTAATGTTCTCCAGGCAAGGGGCATTCTGCATTTGGACTTATAAAGTTATATTGCCACAAAGGGACTGACGCCTTTGCCTATATAATCCATATGCAGGCCATTGTTGCATCACTCTAAGTCCTCTTAGATGTTGCCAGAGGTGTCCCTAGAATAACTGCCTGAGGCAGGGGGGAAGGGGGTGCTGGTGGTCATGTTCCAGGGTGGTGTTCGATGGGGTGCTTGTTATGCACGTGAAGGGCGCGCTGGCTGGCGTCCTGATAGTGCACCGCCCAACTCCTAGCAACCAGTGACATCACCAGCTTCTGGCAACCAGTGACGGTGGATGGGACACTGATCAAAGCGTCGGGTTAAGAGCTCTTAGCGTCCAGTTCAGCTCCTGGCAACCAGTGACGTCACCAACTCCTGGCAACCAGTGACGGTGGGTGGGATGCTGGTCAAAGCGTCAGGTTAAGAGCTCTTAGCATCCAGTTCAGCTCCTGGCAACCAGTGACATCACCAGCTCCTGGCAACCAGTGACGGTGGATGGGACACTAATCAAAGCGTCGGGTAAAGAGCTCTTAGCGTCCAGCTCAGCTCCTGGCAACCAGTGACGTCACCAACTCCTGGCACCCAGTGACGGTGGAGGGGATGCTGGTCAAGCGTCAGGTTAAGAGCTCTTAGCAAACTCGGACATGCTAGCTGGCATCCAGTTCAGCTCCTGGCAACCAGTGACCTCACTGGTTGCCAGGAGCTGAGCGGAACACCGGCCAGAGCATCACAGGTTGATGTGTATGGCGCTTACACATCTTCCCGGCCGGCTCTTAGCAACTCGGGATGCTCTGTCTGAAAAGGGAGTGGCAGGCTCTGCCTGTCGCCCCCCTCCCCATGTGACCCAAAGAGGTGCCGTCTGCGGCAACAGCCTGAGGCTGCCTCATCATAGGGATGGCCCTGGATGTTGTTGGAGGATGACTCAAATAAATCAGAGGTGCTGAAGCCTCAGGATTGCAGAAGTATTTATGATTTGACACATAACCTGGCCCCTCCACCCAAAAACGGTGGAGGCATTGTGAAAATGCTGAATTTAAGTACCTGGATCTCCTTGACATGGAAGGTGATGATCAGGATAAGAAGGACTATGGTGGATATGGTTATGCTGCATTTCATCAGGAACAGGTAGACGAACCACTGAAAGAAAAGAAACGCAACAGTCAGAGGGGAAAAAAATAAAAAGTAAGAAAGACAAATTATAGGAATATAAGATTATACAGGGTATGATACTGTTTATACTTCAAAGTGGGGGAAGCGCTGCTATAAGGGGGAAAAAAGACTTTAACTTACCTTACCCCTCACATCCTGGCAGCTGGCACTCAGCTCTTCGTTCCAACCAGTTGTGGGCCTCCTCACTTACAAAGCAGGACTGGTGGTCCTGCATGGCATGTGATGACATGACAGCTGTGACCACGAATGTGCAAAGTATGAATGCAGCCTACAGCTTGCTTCACACCCATGGATACAGTATGTGCATTTTGCATGTGCTTCGGGAGGTGATTCCAATAATTTCTAATGGGCCCCAACACACATCCACATAGTACACAACGCACCAGACCCTTTAATACACACCACAACGTATATATAAGAACAGAAAAGATGCATTGGAACCAAAAAGGGTCAGATTCATGGACGATTGTTGATGGCCTGAAGGTAATAAGTGGGCCCATGTGCCAAAACGCACACACGTCAACTGGGTTTACTTATAAAACTAGATACTAGCACCTCTAGATGGTGCTGAGGAGTATGGAAGTTTCCTATTCTCCTCATTGCCATCTAGAGGCGCTAGTGCCAAGCAAACAGCATCCACACGGCTATAGATGAGGTGTACGCTTTATAAATATACCCGAATGTGTGATAATGTGCTCATGGGTTACTTTAGTTATTTTATATTATTATTATGAGACATTTTTGTTTTTAAGCAGCATGTGGTATAATCATTTTCCAATTCATTCTTTTTAGATTATGAAAATTATACTGACCCCAATTAAACTGATTGCAGTTTAATTTGTAATCTTGATTGAACTGAACAAAAGGACAAAAGTGGAAAGTAATCAAAGTATGACCCCCTCATGTATCACTTCCCCCTCCCTTTTAGATTGTAAATCCTCAGGGGCAGGGTCCTCCTTACCATCTTGTCATGAATTGTATTGTGATTGTAATGTCTTCCTTATATTGTAAAGCGCTGCGCAAACTGTTGGCGCTATATAAATCCTGTATAATAATAATAATGATAATTCTGATGGAATCAGAAAAACAAATCATTGATGTGCAGTTGACCCAGGCGGCCATCATATTGGGTTGCCACAATTTCTGCTTGCGCAGTAACTCTGCCTCTGTCACATTTTTAGATGATATTGATTCAAAGGGATGAGACATTCCTGACTGTCATAGCAAACATTTGCTGAAGGAGAAGGTTGAGACTCGCTGTCCTTCACAGCACGCTGTCCACTCTGTCCCTTCTACTTCCACTATTAACAAGTATGCCGAATTGCCATTTTTTTGGGGCCGTGTTTAGCTGTCTCACACCTCCTTTGCAGCCCTAAACTGGAAAATTTAAATTAAAAGAGGCTACAGACTATTCTGTTACTCAGTGCTAAAGCACTGTATATGTTTTATATTCAGTGCTGCTTATTTCTTCCAACCTCTTTTCAGCCACTTCCTGTCTACACGGACTCCAGTGATGGCTGCATGGCATTTCTCATTTTGGTGGGCATCATGATGGTGACAATAGTAGACCATGATTGGGTAATGTGTGCTGAAACAGCAACTTGCATAGATGGCAACTGTCCCAGATTTGCCTTTGTTCCGATGATGCTTTTTCCTGGGTTGTGTCCCGGGATCACTACATCACCCTTATTTAGGCTACGGAGCATGTGCAGAAGTAACTTAGAAGGGGTATTAGCTGATGGGTTGGTGACCACAAGTGGGCGGTTTGTGGATAATTGCCCAAAAAGTAGCTATAATAGTAGGTACTGTATAATCAACCACCCAGAATGTGGCTGTGATCTGGGGGGACCACCCAAAAAGTAGGTACAATTTGGGGGTGAACCACCCCAAAAGTGGGTATAATCTGGGGGACCACCCAAAAAGTGGCTGAAATTAGAGCTGGACCACCCTAAAAGTGGGTATGATCTGGGCAGGATCACCTGAAAATTGGGTATGATCTGGGTGGGATCACCCAAAAAGTAAGTGTGACCTGGGCAGGACGCCCAAGAAAGTAAGTATTATCTGGACAGGACCACACGGAAAGTGTTTTCTGGACAGGACCACCCAGAAAGTGGGTATAATCTGGGAGGGGCACCAAAAAAGTGGGTGTAATTAGAGCGGGACCACCCAAAAGTTGGTTATGGTCTGGACAGAACCACCCAAAAAGTGGGTGTGACACGGATGGGACCACCCAAAGTGGGTGTGACCTGGGTGGGACCACCTGGAAATAGGGCAGGATCTGGTTGGGAATGCCCAGAAGGTGGAACCATTAAGTGTGGGCCATAGGTGGGGGTGTGACCATGTCCCAGAGACTGGGGAGGAAAATGTTGGTAAGTATGCACAGGAAGCCCATGTGACAGGGTGACAATATAAGAGCAACATTGGGAGACAGATACAGAGCGTTGTCACCCTGTAACAGGAAGCACCTAAGCAAGGACCTTCCTAAAAGGATCCCCGGTGATTATTCTAATGAAAACGTCAGTTTTAAAAATACTGAAAATGACTATTAAAATGGAATTAACATGTTACTATTATTATTATACAGGATTTATATCACTGGGTAGGGGGCCAACTGTAGTGTTGGCTGTTAATTATAGCTATCGGCAGGAATCATCGGTTTGTTTGTTTTTTTTAGCTGCATGAAAGCCCGGCCTTCCACTGGTGCATTTCCTACATAAGAGAATGTTTCAATTCAATTCAATAACACATTCAATAATATCAATTAGGTTTGCAGACGCCGCGCTCCGCGGGACATGTAGAGACAGCCTGCAGGATCTTAGCTGGTGGCCATACAATGAGATCTTTGTACCGTGGTTTGCGCTGCGTAAACACAGCCGTGTCAGATAATCTTTGATCTGCAGTACAGGATTCGGAATACTGGTAGGGAGCCAGGCCATTGTGTACAGTAATGTATATGTTTGCTCGCCGCTCCCGCATTTGCCGTATGTCACCGCTCTCCCACTAACTGCAGGAACTCCAGACAGAAATAAAAGACACACCTTTATTCAATAATACGACATTGGTTCTATTTTTATTTTGTCGAATGCAAGCAATGCAAAGCTGGCCATACACTGTGTGGATTTTCGGCCGGTTCTTGTTGACCCAGCGGAAATGTGCACAGTTGGTGGTCTTGTCAGCACCCTTCAGTCCAGCATCCTTCAATCAAGAAATCGAAGGAGCCGGATGGAAAATCTATGGGGTGAACATTGACGGCAGCCAGTTAGCCAACGTTGCTGTTTGAGTATTCTTACAGCGGCACTCAGAAAAACAAAGGACACAGCGGGAGATTCGTCCATCCATGCTGTACATTGTGTCAGTTACCTACTTTTCTTTTACATAAGTTTTATTATTTTGACAAAGAGCAAACAATGACAGCCAGTGGTGTCCCTAATGTTTTTGCCGCCTGAGGTGATGGTTGTGCAAGATGGACACTCTGGTGGGAGGGTGTTGTGCAAGATGGAAGCTCTGTGGTTGAGTGGAGGTGTTGTGCTAGATGAAAGCTCTGGTGGTGGGGGGTGTTGTGCTAGATGGATGCTCTAGCCAGCAGCATGGGGAGCGTGGCATATAGGTATTGCTCTGGCCGGCATCCTGCCCACCTCCTGACATCACTGGTTGCCAGAAGCTGAGCGGGATGCCGTCCAGAGCATCACAGGTTGCTAAAAGCTGGGTGGGGAGATGTGTGTGGCCCTTACACATCGTCCCGTCCGGCCCTGGGATGCCCTGACTGGAAAGGGGGCAGCACAAACATTATGGTGCTCTGCCTGCTGTGATCCAAAGAGATGCCTCCAGGCTGCCTCATTAAAGGCACGGCCCTGATGGCAGCAGGACATTAAAGGTAATACAAGGAAATAAAAGTAAATGATAAACATCATAACAGGAGATAATAAAAGATCCACGTACAGTAACATTACAGGGATGACAGCTGGGCAAGCAGAAAGCATAAGGATCCTGCCCAGTCCCAATGAAGGACAGCTCTGGAATAGGTTATAAAGAAAACGTGCATTCCACCCGATTGTACAAACCAGAATCAAAAGGCAAAAACTGCCCTGAGCAGAGCACACAGTGTGGTGGGAGGGCAATGAGCCCAGCAGCACCTATCACCCCACATTCTCCAACATGTGGGCGAAATACCAGTCAGAGAACAGAGAGAGAAAAAGACAAACCCCAGGGAAAAGACATGCAGAAAGCCGAAAAGAAGAACGAAAGGCAAATCTATAAGATGAAAAAAGAGGATAGAGGAGTCCAATATACCCAAAATAAACTCAATAAAGACTGATTGAACCCCTAAAATCTAAGGTAGCCTACCCAAGGGGATTGTGTTCTCGAAAACTTAGAGTGACTATCGTTAAGAGCAGTCTTAGGTTTGATCCAAAGTGGTCATCATGGTAACCTAGCAGCCCATCAACATATTTGTGCCCAGAGATGCCCCTGGTCAGGCTCAACAACGTTCAGGCTCATCAACGCTCAGGCTTATCAACGTTCAGGCTCAACAACGTTCAGGCTCAACAACGTTCAGGCTCATCAACACTAAGGCTCATCAACGCTCAGGCTCATCAACGCTCAGGCTCATCAACGCTCCGGCTTATTATCAATGTTCAGGCTTATTATCAACATTCAGGCTCATCAACGTTCAGGCTCTCTAACTGAATAGAGCACCGTGCAAGGAGAATGTTGGTCCCTTTGTGTGAGAGTAGTGGTCTGGCTCTCCAGTGTGCTGCAGGCACAGGGCACCTTTTACAGTATTTAACACACGCACATTGTAAAAAATCCCAAAGCGTACTAGTGTTATGCAGCCTGACTACATAAAAAGCAAAAATGTCAGGCTTCAAGTGAACGTGTACATCATCTTCAGGAGCCGTGCTACCAAATGTAGTGAGAAACTTATTAGTCATTATCTGTATCGGTTTTTAGGTGTAACTCTTTCGCCA